GCCAGTAGATGGAGGCAAAGGCTTGCTTATCTTTCATTAAAGCCATTCTATTGAAACGTTTCCTCAGGAGAAAAAAAAAATAGAATAGAAACTTACCGACTTGTTTTTCTCTCTGTTGTGATGAATATATTTAAATAATAAAAAAGATACTATTTTAAAAAATATTTTCAAATAATTTGGACTGTCAAGGAACATTTGAATAATTTTATTTCAAAGAGTACATTGCATAGGACAAAAAAGCTGCAAAAGACTTCTTTGAAGTTTTAAAGAAAATGAGGATGCCATACCAGCAACTCAGGTACATCTGCCTTAAGTTATAGTAGTTTGTATGGATAATGAGTAAGGCAGGTGAAAGATGAATTAACGACTACAAATTATCATGTTGGCAAAGGATATTGACTTCACGATGGACTGCCAGAGAATGAACAAATATGCCTTAGAAGAAGTGCAACAAGAATGTCCCTTTTAATAATAATAATATAATAATAATATAATAATAATATAATTTTAAAAATAATGGCAAGGCTTCATATCAATTACTTTTAATGTACTATTACTTTCAGGGGAGCTCTGGTGGCCTAGTGGCTAGAAGCTGTACTGCAATCCCAAAGGTACACAGTTTTAATCCACCAGATGCTCTGCCAGAGAAGGAGGGACAATTTCCTCCTGTACCAGTCAGATCTGATTTGATGGTACATGCACAAAAATAATAATTAAAAATGACTATTACTTTCAATATATTATCAAGAACTATTCTCTAGATCAGAACATCATGCTTGGTAAAAATGTCAGCAAAAAAAGAGAAACACCCTAACCATGTGGGTTGGCTGCAAAGATGGGCTTAAACACAGCAGTGGTTATGAGAATAACTCATGTGATCAGGTAGAATTTAGTTGTTTTATATAGGCTCTATAAAGAGTGGCTGACTTGATAACACCCACCACTGTTAATAATGATTCCTTGCTCAGCACTGAGCCAGAGGCTGTCAAGAAAATGCCTGGAAGCATTGCCTTTCACCAGGAAGACTCTTGGCCAAAGTAATCAACTTTTTTACTTTGTGGACTAAGAAGCATTCTATTATCTTATCCACTGTGACACCAAGGCTCCGTTATGTTACCAAGGTGTGTATGTAATTTAGTCATATTAATCCTATGACAAAAGAAGAATAGATGCCTTTGAGTTGTGGTGCTGGAGAAGAGTCTTGAACATACCACGGACTGCCAAGAAAACAAATAGGTCTATCTTGGAGAGGGTGAAACCAAGTCTCTACTTGGAGGTTAGGATTTTGAAGCTCTCCCTCACTTACTTCGGGCATGTGGCCAGGAGAGATTGGTTCTTGGAGAAGGACATCATGCTCAGAAGGGTGGACAGACAGCGCAGGAGAGGGAGACCCTGGATGAGATGGATTAATATAGTACCTGGGGCGATGGGGGTGGTTGTGTTAGAATTCGTGAGAGTGGCTGAGGACTGGAAAGGGTTGAGAGCTGCTGTATGTAGGGTGTTTATATATAGCAGATGACTCAACCAATGACATTCTATGACTGGTTTGGAAGCAGGAGTGGCATCCACTTCCTGAACAACTCGCCTCCAGAAACTCTATGAACTTTGATAAATGTCAATAGTTGTAACGGGGCTTCAGGCTTTTTTTTCATAGGGTCTGTATGAGCTGTGCTTTACTCAAAGGCAATCAACAATAACAGCAATAATGGTGGCCAACTATGACAATAGTAAGGTGGTCTAGTGGAAAGAAGCTGTACTGCAATCCCAAAGGCAGGTGCTTTGAGGCCATCAGCTGCTTTGCAGGAGCTTTATGGACAATCTCCTTCAGTGCGATTAATCGCCTCTGAAAACCCGTCAGTGAGTCAGCTATGGGTTTGTTCCAACTTGACGGTACACAGCAACATAACAATAATTGTAATATTAGAGAATTAAAGAATAGTTATATAGTGATCTATACAGAAATGAGTTCATCTCAATAGATTTTGAGAACTCTTTGCTAATTATTTTCTCTAGCATTTTTTCAAATTTCTTCTTTTCATCTATCTGTTGGCTACAATACTGGATATGCTCGTGGCACACTTTATAGAAGACAAGCGTTATGGTTGCTAGTGTAAACTCTGAAGCCTGGATTTTGTGACTTTAGCTTCTAGACTCATTTTGCTAAGACTGATAGTCTTTCACGGCCAGAAGTAGTTCTTCCTGGACTGGCAACAGTGCTATCTAAAAGGACTGAAAATTTTTATATACGCTTTAAAAATATTTCTTCTCTTAAGTATGTAGAACACTTTCAAAATAAGTTTGATTTTTATTTTATTCTGTACATAAGTAAGAGCTAGAACAAATAAGACAGGGAAAGTTGCATTTAGACAATCCTTTTGACAAATTCCCTGGGTTTATCCACTGAACTTTTTATATCATTGAATGGTCTCTATTTCTGGTGCTTCCATACAAAAACTCTGGAGCACAGCAAATTTCATCATAAATCCTGATAAAGTATTGTTCTCAATATTCTCATCTCCCTCACATCTATCACTGTTTTCCTCCTGTGTTTTAAAAGCATTAAATAAAGTGGTTCAATTTCTTCCATTAAATGTTAAATGTTCTACTGATTCTTATCTGATAAGACTCACTTTACCTTTATAGGACACATAGTTAAGTTTGTTGTTCTTCTTGCGTTCCATTGATTTAGAACCGATCCATAGCTGACCTTCTGGCAGGTTTTCAGAGACTGTTGATCAAGCAGGAGGAGATTGCATGTCCATCTCCAGTGGAGTAGCTGGTAGATTCGAACTGTATGCCTTCAGGATTGCAGCACAGTTTCCTGCCACTAGGCCACCAGAGCTCCCCATAGATAAGTAGATATCTTATTGGAAATTATGTTTATATATATTGACTTTGAACAAGCATCTAGGTGATTCTTATCTTCAGGATAGTAGAGAAAGTTTTAAAATAAAGTAGCACAGACATTAGTGTATTCCTGTTGTATGATAAATTGCTATATTAAAAAAATACTAGGCCATATCATAAATCATTTAAAACTTTAAAAAAGAAAAACCAGAGCCATTCAGAAAACATATTAGGCATTCAGGAATCTAGATGCATAGATTGGTGTGTGATTGCAAAAACAGTTTGTTTTTACAAACTCATATGAACACATTTCAAGGTGGTATGTGGGGACCTTGGAATTAAGGTTGCTGTCTGAAAGTTTAAATAGGAAAATTTCCACAAGGTATTGAAGGTACTCACTCATCCATTGGAGTCAATCACTTGTGTGAATGAAACACCAAAGAAAACAGAATATGAATAATGGGGAAAAGATGTGTATAATAAATATTGCCTCAAAGGAAAGGACAGGATGTGACTATTATTTGCAAGCAGCAAGCTAATTAACTACTCTCCTTAATGTAGAACATTTTAACAACGGGGTTTGCTCCACATGAAATGGCTTATAATGAAGAAGTAATCAAAACAATCCAAGATTACATTTCCAGTCTGCCATGGGAGGGAAAACAAAACCTATTTGGACCATGCAAGAGTTTATTTGATTCTAGCACTTGCTGTTTAGAAATATGGCTCTTTTAGACATAACCTGGAAATCTGAGAAGCCACTCTCGTGAAACCATTAAACTAAATCTTGCCTCTGAACAGTTGGTTGTGGTGTCCCATAGCTATTTCTAGCTTGTACAATTCCCTTAAAGGCACTGAGATATCATCATCAGAAAATGTCATATGCCTAACACACTGATGAGGCATGGTTCTTTTATTTTAATGTATTATCTACAGAATTTTAAAAATTTACAAAAACAAAGGATAACTTCCTGAGTAAAAAAAGATTCAATGCATGCAATTTCCTAAAATTAGATTGTTATAGTAACTGTCTGGGTAAAAGACTTAAGACTCCTTTGTTTCTTTTCTGTTTTTTTAGTCAAATAACTTGATGTCACACTCTGGTCTCTGTTGTTTAATAGTGGCATTTTAAAATAAGAATAAAAATCAGAATAACTGGATTGCTTTTACTAAAAATGCAAATACCGATAGGTATCATCTTTTGGAGAGAGAGTGAGTTAACAGGCAGCTAGTATCTGAAGAGAAATTTTCTTTTTCCTCATGCATTTAAGGGTTCTTAGTACATCAGAGCTGATAAAGATGGTGCAGAATAGGACAGGGTTCAAATCTGTTTTTCATAGGGTCACTATGAGTTGTACTGTACTTGACAGTAGCTAACAAAAATATTAAGAAAATGAGCACAGTTTCTACTTAGTGGATTCTTTTTTCACAGATGGTTCCTTTCTCAATCCACGCACTCTCAACTACAAGCTCCTTTTTACTCAGACTGGAGGAAGAAACTGACTATCCTTTCCCTCAGAATAATGGATGGGATCTTTTAGTTACCAGAGCAATATAATACACATCTCTTCTATATGTACTCTGAATAAATAAAATGACTTCTACTGTATTCAGATATTCTAAAACTTTATTTTTTTTTCCACATTCGATTGTGTCAGAAAAGAGTACTATCACTTAAGTTTTCTTAGGGTTTTTTAAATTTTTATTTTAGTACATTTATAACTTTAATTATATTTGCACTTAACCTTAAAATATTTCCTATTCTTCAATTCAGAAAAAAGACAAATAATTTAAGTGAAAATTACATCAAATACTTCTAGGTTCAACAAAATATATACGAACTGTGTTATTTAGTATCATGGTGTTGCCAGACTAGATACTGAGAAGATATAATAAAACCAATAAATGCATGTGTTTAATTTTAATATTATATTTAGTAGTAAAAATGCTAAATACCTCTCTGAAAATAAAAATCTGACTGCCTAAAGGCTTTATTAAATACTAGCAGTTTTATTTATAAAAATCAAAGTATATAGCATAATATAGCAAGTGCCTATCCTGTGTATGTATTATTCAGGATTTGTTTATACCAAATATAACATCGTTTTATATATAATGTTGGAAATTATTCAGGTGAATGTCCTTTTTCAATACTATTTGAATATGGAAATTAAAGCTGTACTAAAAGGATTCGTAAAAAGCAATTTTTTTACAGCCCCTTTTACCTCTTTGTTCCGTAGACTGTAGATGATAGGATTCAACATGGGTGTTAATCCAGCATATACCAAAGCCATAAACTTATCTATTTCTTGTGAATCTACAGCTGAAGGCTTCAGATACATGGAGAGAGCTGTCCCATAGAACAAAACGACCACAGTCAAGTGGGCAGCACATGTTGAAAAAGCTTTGCTTCTGCCATGCACGGAACTGATTCTTAGGATGTTGGAGAGGATGAAGGCATAGGAGACACAAATGAGAAGCATCGGCATAGGAAGGAGAAGGATGCTGATGATGAGCATCATTAACTCCGCCACGGACGTGTCCACACAAACCAGTTTCAAGACAGCCAGAATTTCACAGGTGAAATGATTGATAATGCTGTTACCGCATAGAGACAACTGTAGTACAGACGTCGTCTCCGCGAGGGCCGTGAGGCAGCCAGTCACCCAGGAGCCCACTGCAATCTGCAAACAGACCTTCCTGTTCATGATGACAGGGTATCGGAGGGGGTTGCAAATGGCTACATACCGGTCATATGCCATCAAGGACAAAAGCACACACTCTGTGGACCCCATCGCAAGAGAGAAGTACATCTGTGCAGCACATCCCGAGAACGAGATGATGTTTTTCCCTATCACAAAATTTGCTAGCATTGGAGTGAGAGCAGAAGAGGTATACCAGATGTCCAGAAAGGAGAGGTTGCTGAGGAAGAAGTACATGGGGGTATGTAGGTGAGAATCCAAGATGGTGATGGAGATCAGAGTAATATTGCCCAGCAAGGTAACCAGGTACATCACCAGGCACAATACAAATATGATGATCTCAACTTTGGGGTAGAGGGAAAATCCCAGGAACAAAAAATCCGTTATAGTTGTCCAGTTTGTCTGGAACATTTTACTGTGCATTCACTCAGAGGGAGAATGAACATCATCTTTTATATACACACCAAACATTCTTTTCAGCATTTACTATTGTTCTTTATCTTATGATTTGTGGTCTGTGCTTGAATACGTCTCTGGCTTTGTGTGATTACTTGGGGTATACATTTGAATGATTTACCATTTCCAAGAAAAATTTCAAGAAGAATCCAGCAGATTAAAAGTATTCTCAAAATTATCTGTTTGCTCTGAGACATACTTTTGACAGTGCTGATGTAGAACCAGGGCCCATTAAGAAAGAGGACAGAAACAAACTCCTGCTTGCTTTCTTTTTTCCAAAAACCCTGCCCATAACTGACATAGGATTATGCCATCTATTTACCTCTGGGCCACTGGAATTCTTCCTTCCCTTGGTTTGATAAAGCTTCTCACTTACGAACTATCGTGCTTTCCAAGATCATAGCTTCTTTGATAGTGCTAGAGTTCTGTCCATAGTGATTGGGGAGATTCATTGAATAAATGAAGGTCTAGATTCCTACAGTCATAGACTACTAATACTAATACTAATACTAATACTAATACTAATACTAATACTAATACTAATACTAATACTAATACTAATACACAGATATTAATGGAGCTCCTGAGCATTTAAACAAAGCACTAAGTTCTCTTCTCAAGGCCAGGGTCACGGATGCAGATATTTTCAAGGTCAGGAACACCTGGGGTTTCTTTCATGTCACTAGAATTAACCCCTTGCTCTGGATATATTCTCCAAAGGACCAGTCACTGGCTTTACAAGGCAATTTAAATTCTTTGTTACAAGTGAAAACTTTGCAAATTCACACAACAAATTAAAGTTAGAACTCTATTTGTGCAGGATTACAAATACTGAAACTCCAGGGACAATGTCCCATAGATCCAATTATAGTTGGGGAGATGATCTATTCTAATTGTAATGCTATTCAAACAAAAATAAACATGTTCCTGTCAATGCTGTCTCTGAGAAGGGCTACTTTGCTCAAGATTGCAGTGTGGAAAGCAGTCGAGTGAATTAGCATAAAGTTTTGGGTAGTTTCTCCTTCAAGTTGAAAGGGGCTTATTTGTATGAGATCAAACTGTGTTTGATTTTGAACCCACCATAGAATGAGAGTCTAAAGATGCCTAATAGTAACCATAGGTAGCTCTGGTGGCCTAGTGGTAAGATGCTGCACTGCAATCCTGAAGGCATACTATTTGAATCCAATTGCTCCCCTGGAGAAGGTCAAACAATCTCCTCCTGTGTGATTGACTGTTTCTGAAAATTTGCTGGAAGGTTAGCTATGGTTTGGTTCCAACTAGATCCATACAGTAAGAACACACAACAGTAACAACAACAACACCACTAATCCTTACATGTTGCTAGAAGAGGCTATTCCTTGTAAAGGGACATTGTGGTAGGAAAGGTGGAGACAGACTTTCAACCAGAGGGACTGATGCACTGACTGCAGCAATGGGCTCAAGTGTGTCAAAGATAATGAGAATTAAACAGGGTTTAGATCTGTTGTTCATAGTATCACTATGGATCATACTTGACCCAAAGGCAGCTAACAACAACAATAACAATCATTAAATTTAAAAGGAAACTTAACACAATGTATATTATGAGGATGATCACCCGTTGAACTCACTCTTTCTGATGAGTTAGTGGAGAAAATGGTAAAATTCTGAGTAAACAACAACAACAACCAAAAAAAAAAACCCCAAAGCACAATTTATATGAATGAAACATAATGTAAATAAATTATTATATGAAATCCAATAAAAATATTTTAAAAAGGAAATGTAAAGAATAGATTTTTTAAAAAAAATTATTGGGTTTGCATATAATCTTCCATATATATTGTGTTTCATTCATGTACATTATGTTTTACACAATCATTCACATATATTGTTTCATTTATGCACACCGTGTTTCTTATACACATTGTGTTTCCTTTCATTACCATTGATCTATGCCTTCCCCCCTTTTCTAAGATATTGCAAATTTTTATTAAAATATTGGTAAACAGTTGAAAACATTTGTATATAAACATTCTCTGAATGAATGTAAATTAATGAAAATCTAGAATAAAATAATAAATAACATGAACTTTTTTCTCCCCAAAATGCATTCAAAGTAGAGTTTACACCTTGTGTAATTTTACATCACAGCACATGACTAGAAACCCTTTCTAGAATTATTCTTTTATGTGTTCTCAACAACTTTTCATAGACTATAAGAGACTGATTTAATTAAAAAATGGCAACTGGGAAAAGGAAGATAATTTTTCAAAGAGAAAAACGAACTCAGAATGGGGAGGCAGGGAGGAAAATGTGCAACAGAGAATGAATGGAAATCCAAATTCTGTATAAACTTTCAGTAAAATCTAAAAAAAAGGAAAAAATGGAAATATATGAGAATTCCTGGAACGGGACTAACATTCACCTTGTGTTTTACATAACGGAAACCCTTGCTAAGTGATGAAGATCAACCTTGATCTCCCACCCCACTGTAATTTGCCCAAATAATTTGGGTATGACTGAGCTCAGAGAGGTATTTCTGTTGGCTGTTGTAGGTATTTTCCAAGAATTGAGCCAAGCTGATTCCTAAAAGCAGTTTGCTTAATATATTTTGATTCTTAGATGCCTTCCTCAATATAAGATGAATCATGTCGGCTGAACTTTAACACTGAGGATTAGGAGAACACAAACTGGTAACCATACCCAGGTGTTGATTTGGTGGATGTATCAAAACCTGATGCCATCAAAGTGGCAAAGTCCACGTTTTTGGTGAACCATGAGGAAGAATACTGAATATTTCTCACTCTCTTTGAAAGTTGGATGCCTTCTGATCTATGCAGTTTATCTCCCCAAGCCTTCAAGTCCTCATCGTATCTTTCCTCTTTCTTCACACACACACACACACACACACACACACACACACACACTCACACACTCCATTGGACCACTAACCTCTGCTATGCTAGTGATTTTTCTCCTGCTCCCTCTTGTCCCTGCTCCCTTATTCCCTTCCCCTTTTGAACATACATACACACACACACACACACACACACACACATATATATATCACTCCATTCTCTTCCGACTTTCACAATATTTGTCTTATACAGTAGTTTCCAGTTTGTGACTGAGTTATTTCACTCAACATACTGCTCTGTAGGTTTTTCCATGTTTTATCTTATTTTACAAACTACTCAGTTCTCTAGATCTGCATAGTACTTTGTTGTGTGAGTATGCAACTTTCTCTATCCATTCATTTGTTGATGGGCATTTGGGCTCTTTCCACTTTCTTGACCTTGTGAATATTATTGTTATGAACATAAGAAGACATGTTTCTGTTCATATCTTAGCTCTAATTTCCTTGCCACAGTCCTAGAAGTGGAATACTCAGGTCATATGTGATTTCTTTTTTAAAAAAATTTTTATTTATTAATTTTTATTTTATTATAATTTGTGTGTGTGTGTGTGTACCATCAAATCGAATCTGACTGGTACAGGAGGAGATTGTCCCTTTTTCTTCAGCAGAGCATCTGGTGGATTTGAACCAAGTGCCTCTGGGATTGCAGTGCAGCTTCTTGCCACATATGTGATTTCTATGTGCACTTTTTTTAGGAAACATCAAACTTCCTTCCATAGTGGTTGTTCCACTTTACAAAACCATCAGTGTGAGGTTCATAAGTTTTATGGTAAGATTTTTTAAGCTTTATCATATAAAAGTATTTTTAGAATTCTATAATAAAATTTATTTATTTGAGGTATTCTTTGTGTTCTCTGTTTACAATATGTTTGCCAAATGAAAGTGAGATGAAGCTTTTCCCTTGTTGCCTCCAAGTAGCACTCTAGCTGTACTTTCTCCAAAACATACCTGTTCTTTTGGCAGTCCATAGGTTATTGTTACAGTTACAATGTCAATCCATTTCAACAATGTCAATCACATCTCACATTATGACTCTAATTGTTACAGTCAAGTATACCAGCAATTATGAGAATGGTGCAGGACAGGGCAGGGTACAAATCTGTTGCTCAGAGGGTCATTATTGGTTATAGTTGATTCAATAGCATCTAACAGCAGCAAAATGACAATCAATTATTATGGGCTTTTGTATTCAAAAGTTGGTTGTTATTATATTTTGGAGGAACATTCTTCTAAGTGGTACAACACTCTTCTGTCAATATGCTGTAATGAGGTAACCTGAGGTTGCTGTGATGCTAACCCTTGTACCATCGGAGTATCAAATGCCATAACAGTTAACCATGCTGTACAATGGCTGGTGGAGCTCCCAATTTAAGACAGGTTTGGAAGCAGCAGTGGAATCCATTTCCTAACAATATGACTCTGGAAACCCTATGAACTTTGATAAATATTATTAGTTATAGAAAGGCTTCAGACCTTTTGTTCGTAGGGTCGCTATGAGTCGTGCTCAATTAGATGGCAATCAACAACATACAAGATACTCAGTCTCTTCTCCAAAACCAGAGCTCAAACACATCAGATCTTTTGTGTCCAGCTCTCAGAGAGCAAGTGATTGAAAAGATCATAGCTTAAATCTGGTACATCTTAGTCCTCAAACTGACATTACTTCTCAGTAATTTGTCAAGGCACTTGACTGCAGACTTGCCCAGTGTGATGCATCTCCTGATCTCTTGCTTGTTGGTACCAAGCATATTGTTCACGTAAGGTGAAGTAGTTGACAGTTTCAATCTTTTCTCCATCTATCATGTTGTTGTCTGTTGGTGGTCTAGTGGTGAGAATTTTTGTTTTATTGATCTTGAGATATAATCCGTGCTGAAGGCTTTAATCTTTAATCTACATAACGTGCTTCAAGTCCTCCTCACTTTAAGCAAGCAAAGTTATGTCTTCTGCATGACGCAGGTTGTTGATGAGTCTTCCTCTTATCCTGTTGCTATATTCTTCTTCAGGAGGTACAGTTTCTCAAATTATTTATTCAGCATATAAACTGAATAGGTATAAA